TAAAATAAACCAACAGATAACAAATATATTTTGTTATAACAATTAAAAATTTGTTCATTTTTATATTAAAATTTCAAGGAATTTAAAAAAAAAACAACTATTCCACATCAATTTTTATTTAAATATTATAGCTTATCTGTTTCTTTGCTTTTAATCGATAGTGTAAATATATAGTACATACATATATACTGGATTTGTTTCTTTTTTTTCTTAATTTTACTTACATATGTTTTCTTGAGATAATAATAAAAAGATAGATCTATGTTACTACCAGAACGAAGATATTTTGAACACTTTCTAATAATTCCTTTGGAAAAGATATCGGCAAAGCTGAAGGTAACGTCTTTATTTGTTTTAATACTTAATTATTCTTCAGTTCAGTGTACTTTCTTATATGATTTTCTTTTAATTTTTTATTATAAAATATTTTTACATTATAGATTTTATTAGTTCCCTGAAGATGACTATCGAAGATAATCGAAATATTGGAGTAGTACTTCAATAAAGTATAATTTGTTTAAAGGTGGTGAGATTTCGAAAAGCAGTGAACTACAACAACAATAATTTTATATTATTTTAATTAATTGAATTATTGACTAAATACAAAAATAAATTATAGTTTTTATTAAAATCATCAATAAACCCGCTCAATAATAATTATATAATTTTTTTGGTCACAAAAAATGAAAAAAAAAATAAATATATATTTATATTTAATGTAAATAATAATAATTTATAAATATTAGAAATAATAATATAAATAAGTAAACTATATTAATAATAAATAATATAACAATAATAAATAAATATTACAATAATAATAAATAAAGATTATGATAATAATAAATAAATAATATAATATTATAAATAATAATATAAATATATAACTTAAATAAATATAAATGTAATTAAAATATCATTTCAACGTTGAAGGTAGAGTAAATTATCAATGATGTCGAGTCAATGTACTCAACGTTCTCTGATTATTTCCATATAACCTGCAGTAAATTACAAGCAGTCAAAATATAATATGTAGGTATTTGCGGTACATATCGAAATATGTTATCAAAACTGTTTCATCCAGTTTGATGAGAATTTTGAAACAAATATTTCCTTTTCTGTTTTCCTTTATTTCGGTATATAGAACTTTAATACTAACTAAAAAAGATCCAGTTTACACCTGTGCCTCAAAAACCAGCATTTCATTCTGACTGCTGAAAGTAAAGAAACCAATATTTGTCTATATTAGGCGTATCTACGTATCTACTGTTAGGCAGATACATACATATATATTGTTTTTTTGATAATAATTTTCAAATCTGGCTTACCAAAATACTTTAGAAATGAGTTTGTTTCGCTTTATGCAAAAAACTTTGTCGGTTAGTGTCATCTATTAATATATTTTCTAGTGAAACTGATTAGCATTCGCTAAAAATTTTTAAGCCTGTTTTGTAGCTTTCTGAGATTGTTGGGTTAAATTAAACAAATTTAAGTATACAAACATTAACGCTTATTAACAGATATTCGAAATGAAAAATAAATAAAACAGAACACCGCATTTTGACGCCATAAAACTAAAAATACTCTTCACGTATACGTCATAGAGATTATAGACGTTCCCGTATTTAGTAACATTTTGCACTGCTGACACAGAAATTAGTATGTAATATATGCGAATTCATAGATTATAAATAAGCACAGTTCTAATGAAAAATTTATTTTACAACGAGTTCTTACTGCTTAGTTACGACCTCTACAGAACTGCATTAGAACCTAAAAAAGGTAAACGAATCGCTAAAGAAGTCGCAATATTAATAGCACAGCGGATTCCTACGTTTGAGGTTACAGATGTCAAGCTAATGCATTGTTGTTAGTGATATTATTTTATATGAACAATTTTTTAAATATCACTTTGGGATTTTGTCTCCATATGTAAAAACCCATTTAAAAATAAATATGTACATAAATTCTTGAATTATTTGAATTCATTAGTATTCATAGAAAGTTCAAACATCAATACATATTAGCAGTGATTCCTGCTCCATCGGTAAACCAAACTCTCATAGGTGTTTTTTAATTTTGACACATTCATTAATTCAAGTATTCACAGGCACTAAAGTATAAAAGTAATTTTTCTATCACATCTTCTATAAAAGATAATCAAAAATACAGACAAACTAAATGCAGTCTTTCCAAAGGGTATCCGGATCTTATTATTTAAACGATATTGACTTCAAAATATAAGTAAAACAATTGTTTTATTTTCTTAATTAAGTGAGTTTTCTTAATTAATTGAACATACAGTCAAAATAATTAAATTATTAATAATTAAATACTAGCCATATCTGATGAAATAATTCCAAGACCACTGATGATAAAGTACTTGGTAACACTTGAAACAGCTATATTGTCAGCCAAAAATTTAATTAATTAAAATAATAAAAATATGTTTGTTGTTGTAATTCATTACTGTTCGAAACCTCAATAGTTTCTATTAGGTAAAGTAATCACCGCCGTCATAACTGACCTTAAGATGCTATTCAAAAAAATTTTTGTGTTTTTTTTTTAATTTCTTAGAGATGACTGTCGAAGATGGTTCATATATTGAACTTGTCAAGAAATTAAAAAAATATCTAAATAAAATAAATGTTTTTTGTTTAAAATAAAAATATAATTGACCAAATACTCTAAAATAAAAAAACAATTTTTTTATTAACATAATATTTAGAACATTATCGTCTTTAAAAAAAATATACGGAATTGTAATTTAATAAATTAAATTTATATTTAGGATGGTTTTATGGGCTTGGATACATTTTCAAAAATACGCTCCAAAAATTGTTGAAATCATCATATACGCACATTCGTAATAATATGTGTCTTGGGAATTTCGTTTATAGATGATAAAAAATATTGAAAATATTTTGAATTGACTGATAATATCAGTTAAGAACTCAATTCAGTACCCAAAACTTATAAGCTTATTACCGAATAACGTTAAAAATAGACATAAAAATGGTTTTAAGTAACTAAGAAAGCTGCTTTGATTCCAATTTCTTCATACTTATGAGTAAACAAATGGGCAGACAAACCGGACGAATTGATAAATGTAGGTATTTGGTCCATACTAAATATTTGAAATATAATTGCCTGAAATAATGATGCGCTCAAAAACTTAAACGTTAAAATAGACATAATAGTTGTTCCGACACATCATCACCGAGCGCAGGTAGACATGTCCTACAGGAGATTTGAAAGGCAGATCCAGCCTGGCTCCATGATATCATGGAGCCAATGTCCCGTTAGAACCGATATTATCTTACATACTTCCAATTTACTTCTAATTAGGTTTTTAGAGTAGTTTTAATAGTTTAACAATTAATTTTAACCGGATATAGCAAAAATATTTATATGTGAAATAAGATAATACGAAATATTTACGGAACTGCAAATATCGTTCAAATACCATAACTAGAATTGAAGAATAGAATAAAACAGACATGTGGATTTAATGAACAGTGGCCGAAAAGACAAAATCGTTAAGAAAAACGATTAAATAATACTGTGTGGCTATACCTTCTCTTTTCAAATTTTGTAACTATCGTAACTTTATCGTAACTTAATTTAATCTCAGATTAAATCTGCAAAACGGTTTCCAGATATTTGGATATTTGGCAATAAAAGAATTCTAATGAAATGTCCAGAAAACACTCTTTTATGAAATATTTGAAGCATTCTTACTTTTAAAAAGTCAAGAGGATAATTCCAAGCACCTGTTGTGTCTATATGCAGACTTGTCCAAAACCTGGCTTAAGTTTTAGGGCGCCTCATTATTTAATACACTCGGCGATATTTCCAACATTAGTATTGGCTAAATATTTGTATTTCTCAATGCGTTTATACTTATCTTATTATTATTATCCTGTTCCATAATTTTAAAGAATGTGGAATTAAAATGATTTTATTGCTTAAAAGAGAAGAATTCGATATCCTCTTTCCACTTTACCAACCTACCCACCTTGTTTAGGAGGCTCACCCAAGCGTCATCCAATATATCTGATAGGTGGTGTTCTATAGTACCTTCCAATAATAATAATAAATAAAAATTAAAAGTGATGACTGGATGTATGTAAGCTTTTCATAACATATAAAGAAAACACAGGGTCTAAGCTTTTGTAATACTATGTAGTATGTAGCTGTTCGTGATGCTAACACTGTCTTCTTTCCTATTCATGGCTCGGTTGATGTTTTTCGGAGGCTCTCTTATGATGTGTAGGCACTCTAGTGTTGCGTAGGCTCTATAGTATTGTGGAGATTTTCTAGTGTTGTGAAAGATCTCTAGAGTATTGTGAAAGATCTCTAGTGTTGTGGAGACTCTCTAATGTTGTGAAGACTTTCTAGTGTTATGAAAGCTCTCTAGTATTGTGGAGGCTGTCTAATAATCTTCTGTTTTCGGCTTTTTCTTTCTTTACTATTACGATATTAGCTTCATACAAGCGTTGAACAACATAAAGAATAAAAGATGTTCCATATTGAAGGTAATCATTAATATTGCAGAACTAGTCAAAAATGCAGTCACTTATACTAGACTAAGGGGAAGAACCTAAACAAATATAACAATGGAATTTTGCTGCTATAGTTTCAGAACAAACTTAATTGTCGGCATTTACGACCACTGAAAGCAATTCTTTTCTTACTGCACTAAAAAAATTAATAGATATGCAGACCATGTACGTGTATTTAACCACGCTTACTGCATTCCACACTACCAAAGTACGTCAAGGTCACATACTACTAGTGCCGACCATGTAAGATAGTGCAAGATGTAGTGCTTGATTGCTTTCCTGTTTATCTAGCAATCAATGGCATAAAAGCAACAATAATGGCGAAACAAAAGAGACGGCGAATCGTTCAAAGGCACGCCGTTCAATTAAAAACTAAATAGTTTGTTTGTTGTTGTGGTGTTTGTTTGACTCAACATAAATTAGTTTTGCACTCACCTGTGTCGTTTCTGGTTACAGCTACCGCGCTTACAAGTTTAAGCTTCCACAAATGCTGATAACACAAACACAATAAAAACAGCAACAACAACTTCTGCTTTACAGGCGGCAACTGCGTTAAACTGGTTGTCATGACACTGAACTTACCTGTCATTATTGTGTAAATGCAGTTCTTCTTGCTGTCGTTATTATTGTTGCTGCTGCTTCTGCTACTGTTTCTGCTACTGTTTCTGCTACTGCTGCTGCCGCTGTCGCTGCCGCTGCCGCTGCTGTCGGTTTTATATTTGCAAATGAAGATGGCAATTTGCTCAGTGACGTTTTATTGGAACAGCTGGTGGCGGTTACTATGATTTCCTGTCGCACTCGACTTTTATCTGCATGTACAAAAAGTTCAAATTTGATTAAAACAAGATAATTTTATTAATTTCTGTTCTATAAATCTACAAACAATAATAAGAGTAAACTTTTCTAAAGGGAGGTGAGCAGACAGCACGAGATGTTTTACTGCTTTATCATTTTTATAAAATTTGATTTTAAGGAGTTTGTGATTCTTGTTCTTTTGCTACATGCATCTATTTAACCATCAACTGTATTAACAAGGTTAAAAATAGGGAATTTTATTCTTAATAGATGAACTGAAGAAGTTTCTGATTCATTACGAGTATCTATTGGTATCTGTATCCATTTACCCATCAATTGTATTGACGATATTACAAATAGATAATATCATGCATATTAAAGGGAGACGTTTGTGATTTCTTATATGTTGACATCAGTATCGATTTAATCATCACCCATTTATTGACAAAGTTATAAATAAAGAATATGATACCTATTAGATGGACTTATAAAGTGTCTGATTCTTTATCTTATGCTATACGTTTCGAGATAACCATCAATGGTAATGGTATAGTTATAAATAGAGAATATCGTACATATTAGATGGACTAAAGAAGTTTATGATTCATTATCTGTTGGTAAGGTTATTAATATAGAATTTAATTCATATTAGTTGAAGGGAAGCAGTTTGTGATTCATTATCTAGTGGTATCTGTGTTGATATAACAAGTTATTGCATCGACATGGTTAAAAATAAAAAATTTTATTCATATCACATGAAATAAAGAAGTTTGTGGTTCTTCATCTGTCTTAGACGAGGCGACTTACTTGGCCGCGTCTGAAGGACTGAGGTCTGAAGGACTGAAGATATAACACAAAAGATTTACTTTTTCACAATGCTTCGTTTCACTGGGAGTCAAGAAATCTGTTCAATTATATTCTATTAGAACTAAAACTATTAAATACTTAAACCTAGAACTTAAATATTTCAAAGACTTGAAATTTTTATTATAAAAGATTTTTATTGGAAAATGCTATAACATAGAAGGTTCAGTTTTTATTCCTAAAACCGAAAATCAAACACAATTTAAAATATTTTCAATATTTATCGAAATACAATATATAGACGATCTATCAAAATATAGACGAATAGATCATCCAAGTAGCTTCAATCACTTATGAGTTTTTGATTTAGTATTTTGATAATTTGAAATATCAGAAACTATTTATTGATTTGAAATTATTATTAATTAAAATTTGTTTTTTATTAAGAACAGTATTCTTGTTAAGCCAAGAAATGAACCAGGGCATAGTAGTTTTGAAACCATTGGAATCAGAAGAGTCTACAGAATATTCAGAAATTAACGACGATCAAAACCAACATCAGAATTAACCACCGAATCTTTTGGTACAAGAACATCCAGTTCAACAAATACGTTTTCGACAATCTCCGTTTTGGCACAAAGACTATGTAGTCCCATCAATAAAGATAGATTGAAGAAAGTACAAAATGCTAAAAATGCAACCGTGAGGAACAGAAAAGCAGAGATGAAAGAGGTAGAAAAAAGGAAGCATGGCGGCGGTGTAGAGATATGGAAAATGGGATTTTAATACTCTTGATAATCATTTTGTTTTAATAGATATATGGAATAAGCGGAATAACTTTTTTCATAGCATCTTTTTTTATATAAGAAAACTACAACAACAAAATATATTTTTACTAAGTTCAACGCATTTGCTACAAAATATATTAGTAAGTAACTGCTCAACTATAGAACTGTATTCTATAAAGCACAAATACAACCAATTTATATGTAGAGTTCTGTAGAGATCCAATGTAGAAAAACAATAGTAAAAACAATGCTTTGCTAAAGCTAGAAGAAAACTTCAGATAATTAGTTTTTACTAACTAAAGCACTAACTAAATGTATTAGAAGGTAAGCGAAATTAAATTTTTTCCAATACACAGCTAGAAATTTAAGTATCCGCACTAAATTCAAATATACATATATGTATCTATTAGATTTCATTTCCATAAATAATATATAGTATAAAAAATCTTTGACGTAATATGGAGTCAAAACTGATTAGGACAACATCGAAGGGACCCACAGAATACGGTCGTTATAAGCAGTAATAGAAATTAAAAATTAATATATTAAAAATTATGGTGATGTTTATAGAAGTATATAAATAATTTATATTTACCTATTATTAATTTATAGTTCATTTAATTATTAATTTACAAATGGTGTAAATGTATATAACATTTACATTATAATCCGTAATTTTTTGCGCCTAACTTTTTTGGAAGCTATATTTGTTTTAGATAAAAATATTTCAAATGATCCAATAAGAGGAGTGACCAAAAACTTTTTTTGTTTGATCATTATAGCCAATAGCCAAAACCAATTTTTTTTAAATATGATCGCAATAACTGGTATATCGTTATATTGATTTCGCTATAAATGGTTGCAAATTCTATATGGATATATGGCATACTAACATTGACTTTAAGAAGCGGTCCTTAAATTTGGTAAATTATTCTATAAAATCTTTTAAAAGAAAGTTTTTTTTGTAAAATGTCAACACTACGGATGCTTGCGTTAACTGTTTTTGCAATTATTATTAGTGTTCTACGATTATTTACAAACTTTGCCTTCAATGTGTAAGAACTTTTTGGTGTATGTTCTTCTTGATTCTTCTTCTTCTTGAGTTATAGTGCTATTACTCACTTTTACTCTATAATGGCTGGGGGCTTATCTCTACCCCACACTAGGCTTTAACTAGGTTAAAAAAAAAACATATCATTTATTTAGTTTAGTTGATGACGGACCTTAAATCAGCATATCTTCCTGAGAGTCCAGAAGTGGACTTGAGGATATATATTGTATGTTCAAAACTCTATATATGTAGTTTTGTCTTTTTTCTGTTCCCAAAGCTAAAATTACCACTTCAAAGAAGGATATTCTAGTTTTAATTGTGACTATAATAAAAAATCATCTTATGGAGTAGTCTTCAACTCCTTAACACCTTAATAAACTCCAGAATAAATTTTTCCCTGCTGACTACAAGACTAAAAAATATATTGTAGCTCTAAAATAAATAAAAGTAGCTCTAAAAAAAGATAAAAAATAAACTAATTAAAGAATACCAAGATCAATTTGCAATTCTATTTATTAAAGAAATTTCTCCAAATAAATTTAAAGTAGGAAGAGCAGCTATATTTCCAGAACTTAAAAAAATCATCTTAAAGTTAATGAAGGTATAAAAAATTTAATAATCTTTTATTATTTAATAAACTTTGTCTTCTTAATCGTTCATATCTAATATTAGCTACACAAAATAAAATTGAAGAATATAAAACTTGACCCGTTAGTAATCTATAATCCCTACAAATTAGAAGATTAGGCCAAGCATTGCTATAGTGATATTGTACTACCTAGGGCCTTATTAAAAATATATTTCAATTTATTTAATTCAATTGTTCTGGAAACTTTGTACACAGAAAGCATATTTGCGTCTTTCACAAAGGACTTCAAAAAAAATGGTTTGTGGTTTTTGTTAATTATAAAAAACATACGTCTCGACTTTGTCAAAATTTTTTTTCGTTTGTTCTGATATTTGACTATATGTATTATAAATTTAGTTCTTGAAATTTAATATCTATCTGTTGAAATATAATTATATTAAAATATAATTTTAATACAAATTGATCTGTCGGAATCAAAAATAGTCCCTAGGTTACTATTTATTTAACTAATATCATTAGTTAATGAGTAAATGACCGACATTAAAACAATCATATATATAATATATTAAGGCAATATATTAGTATATAACTACTTATTTTGGTTAAAAATATACATACTATATAATTTGTATCGACTCCGAACGTTCCAAACACTACAGACTTCTCACTTCCTAAACGTCGATAGGTAGATGGAAGATTGCATAATTAAAATATGTTGAATATTTTCTGAAATCATCTGTAATTTTATTATGTGCAGTATTCGATTTCACTGTTGAAAGTCAAAGTTTCAAATACGAGGTAATGCTTTAGTTTCGATATTCATTTCAAATTAATCGGATTAGGTTGGTTACAATAATTGCAATTACGTGCTGGAATGCGCATCTCAACTATGTATTTTCTTTTGTTGTGAAAATATTTGCTTTACGTCAGCCCGCAAGTCTAATTAAAAAAATTTCAAATTAGTGAAAAGGTATTTATACTATGAAATTAGTGCACGCAGGAATTAAAGTTATGTCATACTTAATACGTGTTTATTGTGTGTCCCACACACAAACCCATAACGCCTTTTAACAATTCGAACTGTGTAGAGCAGTTGCTTCCAAAACATGTTAGCCAATGTCATGTTGAGCGAACTTAATTCCAGATATCCCAGAGTACTTGGAGGATGTTTAGTCAATATATGGAGACGCAAGAGAGGAATGTGATTAGTGTGAAAATCGATCTTATGTCCTGTATGACAGAAAAGTGACTTTATCTTAACATAATAGGAAGGTAGTTAGAGAGATTGAGATTATAGGTGTACCACATCAATTTTTTTAAACGGATGTAAATTTCTACTAATTTTAGAACATTTGTAATAAGTTCTTAATGTTTTAAAAAGTCTATTTATTTCGGATATGTACAAAAAATTCTATTCTATATTATTACTTTTCTTCAAATTTTATTAAGTATATAGAAAAATAGGTAAGTAGCACTAGCTGATCATAGCAATGGTTATAGCATAATAGGAAGGTATTAAAAGAGATTGTGATTATGGGTGTACCACATCAATTTTTTTAAATGGAATGAAACTTCTACTAATTTTAGAACATTTGTAATAAGTTCTAAATGTTTTAAAAAGTCTATTTATTTCGGATATGTACAAAAAAATCTATTCTATGTTATTACTTTTCTTCAAATTTTATTAAGTATATAGAAAAATAGGTAAGTAGCAATAGCTGATAATAGCAATGGTTATAGCATAATAGGAAGGTAGTAAGAGAGATTCAGATTATGGGTGTA